GGGGGGGGGGTGGCAGCCGGTTAGCCCTCAAGGCTTCCATACTTGACATTCACACTTCATGCTCCTGTAAACCATTCCCTGCGGCAGAGGTGGGTGGTTTCATCTCTGAGTTGGGCTCTAGTGACTCGAGACTCCATTGCTGGGTCTTAGACTCGGGTTTGTCCTTGCTCTGGAAAGTGCTCGAGAAAACCTTGTCAGTTCTCGCCGAGGAACGGGAAGCCATGAAGATCAGGGGGCGGCGCGCCGAGCGGGTGCTGGCGGCAGCGGAAGTGACGTGGGCGCCCAGGTGCTTGCTGCGGTTGGCGTGGGGCAGCGTCAGGTGGCAGCGGAGCACCTGGCAGAACACCTTGCGGAACTGCTGCGAGGACACGTTGTACAGGAGCGGATTGATGACGGAGCTCAGGTAGAAGAAGGTGTAGGAGAAGGGGAGGAGGATCATGTACGCCCGGAAGTAGGTCTTGGGCCAGTCGTGCTTGGGTTTGGCCGCCGCCATAATCCTCCGCACCTGGTTAGGCATCCAGCAGACAGCCAAGGTCACGACAATCAGCCCTGAGCAGGCGAGAGGAGAGACAAACAGCATGAGAACAATAATGCAAGAAACTAAATATTGAGCTCCCCAGTTCTGTGCTTACTGGCCAGGAAATGGTACCAATTTTTCCATGTTGTGCTTGACAGCTTCTCTTGCTGCTAGCAAAAAGGAATTTCACAGTGTTTTAAGGCCAGGGAAGTGGACTATGTTAAAGACCATTAAATGCTTTAGACAATTGTTTGCACCTGTTGTTAGCTTTTAATTAAAAAGTTTTCATTGTTGGGTAACCAGGAAGCATATTAGAGTCTGGTAATCTAGTTTTGTCTTTTAAGGAAATAGATGTATACACTCTGTAAAAGCAGGTAAAACAATATTTGTATTTTAAAGAATGTCCACATAAAGACCCGGTGATATTTTCAAGACAAATGGAAATGGTGTCCCTTGTCACAAGAAGCATATTTAGTCACACTGACGATTGTGAATTCATTTTCAAGGGACAAAAAGTCGGGAAGCGCCAGTCACTGAGAATGTTTCTTGGACATGTATTTACTAGGTGTGTACACCCATAATTCTAATACTTGTTTCTGCAACAGCACTTCTGTTCATTTTCAAATATTTTTAGCTGTATCATCTCTTCCACCTTCATGGTGGGGAAAAGACAATCACCCTCACATAATGGAAAATATAAAACTTCAAGTTTAGCCAGGAGCATGCTCATTGCCTTGTGGCACTGAGCTATACAGCAGCCTCCAAAACGATCAGGCCCTGGAGGGACACCGCTCTGACCCATAAGCGGATCACAAGTGGACTGAATGGACATGTTTGCATTCCCACGTATTTGCATTTCAACTTACACACTCATCTCTGTTTCTGTGACCTCTGACAGAGGAAAGGAACATTTACCTGCAGTGACCAAAAAACACACACATTCCAAAAAAAGGAAGATCAAGAATCTACAGAGCATTTGCTCTCTTCGCTCTGGAGCCAAGACACCAGAATGTAAGTTCCTGTGTGGGGAGCTGGTATCTTAAAGCTGTGCTTTGAATTTTTAGAAATGCTTCCTCCGTCTCCTAAATCTGATTATCATAGTAAGGAAGATTCATTCACATTTTGAAACTTTGTATTTTCTAGGAAACCCACAGGGAAGCAATGGTTGGCAATAATCCCTGTCTGCCTCTGATCCATGATAAACATTTCATTCATAAATGCTCCAGGAAAACCAGCCCCGTTTGCACCTCCGGGGTTGGCCCTCTCACACACACTCACCTGAGCATGCCTTACCTGGTGACTGAGTGGCCCTAGGTATGTTCTTTACCACTGCAATAGCCCAGTTCCCTCAACAAATCCTCCACAAATCCCGGCTGTCAGCAAAGGCAGCCCTGGAAGCTCCTCTCCCTTGATAATTTCCAAGGGTTTCTCTTGTCAAACCTCAGCCCAAGCTTAAAACACACATCAATTTGCTTATTTCTTTTCTTTGAGTTTGCTTCCCTGAGAACACTCGGTGAATCTAAAAATAAAATGAGCAAAGTAACATTGATCTGATGAAAAGGCCAAAAAAATCACTTTAAGTCAAGAGTATCGTCTGAATCACCTAGTTAAAGCTGGTGGTTGGAAAGAAAAATCAACATTTCTCTGTGCTTAAAAAAAAAAAAATACTTGCATAGGAAATCAGGAGCCTTTTTCCCACCGCTTCGAGAAGCAGGGACCCTTCCAGCCACGTGTGCTGTTCCAAGTGGGTCCGTAAGTGATTTCTCCTTGTTTTTATCAGAAGCAGTTCTGACTGGAAGGTTCATCTCATGAACTGAAAGAACTAGGAAGCTTCTCCTACCTAGGGAAGCTACATGTCTTCATCAAGGCTTAAGTTCTTTTCTCTCCTCTGCCACTGCATTTCACACAAGTACAACCATCTTCATCTGAAGACTTAGTTCCCAGAACAAGGAAATCGAGCACAGGGTTTCAGATGTGTGCTCTGCTACACTGTGGGAGGTGGTCCTTCAGGCAGCAAGAATCTAGGAAGGCGATGAGAACCTACTTGTACTTACTCGGGTTGAACATAGCACAGCTTTTCAAGCCCCTGGAAGAAAAGCAGTGAGAAAAGGGGCCGGGTTTGAGGGGGGCAAGTTACAAAGTTGTTGTTCTTCTGTCCTGGCTTTGGCCCTGTTCTACTGAGCTCCCGGTTGCATGACCCTTCTTGTTACCTTCACCCCCTTTGCTGGTATCAGTTGTCCTTGACTGACCTTCCCATCAAAAGCAGCAGTTCAGTAAAAAGCACGACCAAGTATCTTAGGGATGAGGCAAGGGACATGAGCAAAGAGTTGTGGACTGATCTGCAGTTTTAGTCAGGAGAAAATTTTGGCTCTGAAATCCAAGTGAGCTAGAGTCAATAAGTGGGAGGTGCCTTATTCTGAACAAGTTGCCAAAAATAGGGAACCAGACCCAAGATTCTCCAGCGATAAGGAAAGGGGAAATCTTGGCTTTCTGGGTGTACAGTAGCAAGGTAGGATAGCAAATACGAACTTGGAGAACAAGAGAGACAAGGAGCTGAGTTAGAAATCCACAGGGATTAAGTAAAGATGAGGCATCAGAGGGGCGCCTGGGTGGCTCAGTCAGTTAAGCATCTTCCTGCGGCTCAGGTCATGATCCTGGGGTTCTGGGATGGAGCCCCAAGTCGGGCTCCCTGCTCAGATGGGAGTCTGCTTCTTCCCCTCCCTCTGCCCCTCCCCCGCTAATGCGTTCGTGCTCTCAGAATCTAAAAAAAAAAAAAAAAAAGAGTAGGCATCAGAAAAATCTTGACATATAACCAAGAATAATGTAAACTATTGAGTCTTCCCTATGTCAGTCTCTGTGCTAAGCACTCTGTGCTTCTTTCCTATGCATTTGTCACTTCTGAAAATAACCTGGTGAGATCAAAGCTGTTACTATCTTCATTTTACAGAGGAGGAAGTTGAGTCTCAGGTTAGTTGCCCACATCCTGCACCTAGGACACATGCTTGCCAGACTCCAAAATCCTTTATACATTTACTATTTTTTCTGAAAGACACATGATTTCTCATTTTCTTCTGTTTGAAAAATACAGGAAACACAAGTAAACATGAGCCATAATTCCACCCTGGGAAGTGGATATAAAGTAGCAATGACTACTAGAAATATAAGCCACCCAGGTGGCTTTAAATCTTGAATAGTCACATTCAAAAAGTAGAAAAACAGGGTATCAATTTTAATGTTTCTTAACTGAATCTACCCCAAATATTATCTCACATGCAATGTCAACACGCAATCAATCTAAAATTGAGAGCTTTCACATTTTTTTCATACTTCGAGGCTTTTATTCTTAAAATATATTTCAGTTGGTTACCAACCACACCTGGCTAGTGTCTGTAGCACAAGTTCAAGTACCCCTCCCCACAGGACCTCTGATTGTCTCCTCCTCCCATTCTCCCACCTGCCCCTTCCCAGCCACATACCTGGAGAGTCCTGTCCGACCAAGGAACCCCCACCCTGCCTGTGTTTTTCTTCCTAAGATTCTGATGTGATTATCATATGGTTTCACTCATATGTGGAATATAAGGAATAGGGCAGAGGACCACAGGGGAAGGGAGGGAAAGCTGAGTGGGAAGAAATCCGAGAGGGAGACAAACCATGAGAGACTCTGGACTCCGGGAAACAAACTGAGGGTTACAGAGGGGAGGGGGCGGGGGGGAGGGGGTAACCGGATGATGGGCATTAAGGAGGGCATGTGATGTGATGAGCACTGGGTGTTACACGCAACTAATGAATCGTTGAACATCAAAAACTAATGATGTACTATATGTTGGCTAACTGAACATAAAAAAATTAAATTAAAAAAATAAATTCTGATGCAGTCAAGTTGACCCTGATCACATATCTGAGTATGCATTCACAGCCTAGGGTAGAGCAGGTCTAGCCCATCTTTTCAGACGAAAAGCCTTCCGTCTGAGGGGACTACCAGTTACTACAGCCTAAATAAGTCTCACAGTACAAAATGATATTTTGCTTTTCTCATTCTAAACCTTGCCTAGGCATTTTGGAATAACAGATTGTGCCAAATACCTGGCAGGGCTGTTGGAATATACTTCTCCCACCGCAACTAGAGATGGGGGGAAAATGGTTTGTGTCTTTCCTTCTGTGCTTTGAGAGAGAATTTTGTTCTAGGAAAATGCAGCATTAGGCATACAAGTACCCCTATTGTTGGAATGTGAAGTGTGCATCCATGGGGCATGTAATAGAGGTCAGCCTCTGGTGGGAAGCTGGGGGTGGGGGGGGAACCCAACCGGCCCCCTTATGAAATTTGTCATTTTACAATGACAGGTAATTGCTCACTTTTACATTTGAAAAAAAAAGGCATTATTTTAGAGGACATTGAGAATAACGATTATGTCCAAAGATAACTTTTTATTGGGCTGTTTTTAACTGGTCCAGCTCTTGTCCTAGCTACTGTAGCTGAGACGAAGCTTTAAAATCTTATTCAGGCCTTAATAGAGTTTAATAAAGATTTGATTAAATTTATGTTTGGCTGCAATCAGTTTGGACTTACATTTGGAAAAATCTGTAATGCTTTGGTCTGTATGGTATCATGTTAGCCCACGCCGTTAAATAACTTTACTGTGAGCTTGAATGAAGATCAGTGAACTGAACCCAGTCACGTTAAGAAGGTAAACTATTTTAACTGCATTACTGATAGATTTGTACTATATTCCAGACAGCCTTGTGCTCTGGGTTAAGAAATACCCTCACAGCTTACCTGTTTTTCCACATAAAGTACTTCCATTTTTCCTCCTTGATCACTACCCTAAAATGACAGTCGCCATTAGACGAGGACACAGATTTATTCTCGGTGGAGTAATGTTGTTTAAAACACAGAAATAATACCGATGTCCAACAACATCTCACAAGAAAGGCTGACATTTCAACAGCATCTGAGTCAGCCTGCCTGGTTTAATCTGTGGAAGACGAGATATTATACCACCTGGGACATGGCGACGTTCATGCAACTGACTCTGGGCTCTCTTTTCTCCCCTCTAGTCTTTCAAGTGAAGGTAGCTCTTCATGCGCTCCCCGGAATTCATCTTAGAGTCCCCAAAGAATGGCAAAGCAGGTCTCCCTTTGGAGACCAGGTGCAGAACCCCTTTGTCTCACAAATGATGGAACTGAGGCTAAGTGATTCACCCAA